GCTCAGCCCTACTCCTATTGAAACCAGTGGAAAAAGACCCCTTGACTTCAGGGATAGCAAGTTTGGAGCAACCGGGCTGGAGAACAGACTCCACCGTGTGGCTAGAGGCAACCTCTGCATAGAGATGATGGAAAGGATTCCAGAAGCAAATGAAAGAGTGAGGAGCCTGCGAAAGGCAAGGGGTCAGCTGGGGGAGCCAAGAGACCTTTTGCAGGCCAACGTCCCTGGGTTTTTACCCGAGGCTTGACAGGATCCTTACCACAGCCGTGTCTAATGAGTCTTCTCTGTCCCAGGCCGGCCACGTGTCTGCAGACATCCCTGTAAACCAAGGCACATCCACAGTCAGCTCACCTGGGACTCATTTCCACTTCTATGAGTGATGTTTCTAGTGTTGTTTTATCATCACTGCAAAGCAGTGTCCTGCGAGGTTTTGTGCCCACGGGTGTGTCTCGGCCGCTTGTGCCCCAGCAGGGAGGGGTGAGGTGAGGTTCACTGTGCCTGCTTCTACACACGCTGCCTTCCCTGCCTGATGCCATGTCCCCACCCGGCGGTGTGATGCTGCTTGGATCCAGGCAGCTCTCGCTCCTGGCTGAGCCTCCTGATGCACACACACCACCTGATTTCCGTTGCAGGGGAGGGCCAGCTTGTGCAGAGCTCATGCTGAGACCCTCACTGTGGCGATCCCTGGTGCAGCATTGAAGCACACTGCTTAGGAGGAACCAGTGCGTGCTCTCTTTTTTTTTTCTGGAGCAGGTTTGTCTCTGTTTTCACGTCTTTTGGTGCTACCTCTGGGGCATGCTTGAATACTGCCTAGTGCCTGGAAGCAAGGGCCCCGCTGTGCTGTCCTAACAGCGATGCACATGTGGAGGATCCCATATGAACGAGCTGGTTCTTCCACACCCACAGATCAGGTACAACTTCAGATTCATTGTGCAGGCTGTTAGTGGGGATGTTTGTGCAGGGAACTGCCAGACAGAAGGAAAACCGTAAGAAAGGTGTGACGAGCTTCCCTTTCAAACACGACTCCCTTTGCCAGAAAAAGTCTGTGCTGGACAAATCCCCCACATGGGTAGCATAACTATCCTCTAAACTACTGTATTTAGAGACGGTCTTTCACCAGCCAAATGATCGCTGAGATGAAAGGAATGAAAGAAGTGATAGACAATTGTAGAGACATTAAGGGAACTAAATGAAACCCTAAAAAAAAATGCAAATTGCATACATTCAAACGATGTCTGTGCTTCCAGTGATGCCGAGAGTCCTCCAACAGCCACACTGAAAACAAAAGGAAAGAGTCATTTGGATTTAGAGACAAGCATGAGTGAAGGGCTGTAACATTAGCATTTCAATAGTATTTTTCATCTTTGTTTCTTGTTCTCCACACTGACAACGTGCTCAGCACAAAGACGTGCTTTAGAAACAGGAGGCGAGGGCACTGTCCTGCTGACATACTAAATGTCTGCTGGGTGGCCTTGGGTGACACACTTCATCTCACAGGTCTCGTAGGCCCAGACCAATGTACTGTTCACATGTGAAATGCCATTGCTTCCCCCTAATGGGTTTGGGACTGTAATTCTCAGTGGTGGAATAGGACCGCCCTTTGAACTTAGCTTCACATTTGGTGGCTGAAATGACTACATAACACCTGGGTTTCTTCTTTGCATTGGGAACCAGGATAAAACCTTGGACCATCTCACATCCCCACTTACCTCCCTGTTTTGCCTGCCAAAGGAGCAAGCTTGGGGAGAGCTCTAAGCCAGGCCTGGATTATGACCTAGTGGTTAGAGCATGGTGCTGGGAAAAGCCAAAGCAGGTTCAAGCTGTTTCTGGGTCGGTAGGACTTCAGACCCATGTCTGCTGTTTCCTGGGCAAGGGGGCGCGCCAGTTAACGCCCTTCTGGTAAGCAGGGGCAGACCGTCCTCTGGCTTGCTCCATCCTAGCCATATCGCAATCAGAAGTGGAGAAAAACCAGGTGTGGCCTGCCTGTTGTCCTAGTGCTGCCCCAGGGACAATGCTGGTAGGGATGCCCATGTGTGCTGGGACAGATGCACCCAGGAAGGTCTCCCCTCCCGCAGCGGGAAACATTCACTGCTTCAAACTAAACAGTTGGAAGCAGCGGGTGAAAATATTGGAGGGGCCAAGACCAGGCCCCCAGCCTCACAGAGGATTTTCTTCCAGTGGAGTCTGGATGTATAGCTGATGTAGCTGGGAGAGATGCCCTTGCTCTAATGCCCCTCTGCTGAACACGTCCTCCCACCAGCTGTGGCTGTGGAGCGTGATCTGGGCATGGGGAGGAAGCACACAGATGGTGGCAGAGTAAATGAGCCGTGTAGGAAGCGCAGAGTCCCTGACACCAGTGAAATGCTCTTGTTACAAGCAAGCAGAGAGTGGGGCAGAGCCCTGTGCACCTTTGTACTGAACCCAGTCTAACGCAGGAAGCGCTCTGTCCAGAGACCCCAGATGATCCCCCTCCACCACAGCTCCCACTCTCGCTGCACTGCCAGAAAAAGTTACCTTGATGGTTCAGTGTCTGTGAATGAACTCAGCGGGATCCACAAATACGGAGAGGATTTGACTGGAGTGGTCTCCTCGATCTGCTGCAGCTCTTCTTCCTCCTCCCACTGCTGCTTTGATTCAAGATCATCTTCCACCCTCTCCTCTCCCTCCTCATCCTCAGTGTAGCTAGCTGCCAGTTGTGCGAGGAGGTCCACCTTGGGCTGAAGAGCTCTCAGCATGGCTAACTCCTCTGTCCCTGTTGGGGTCTTGTCTGCACTTGT